CGTGCACACTCCACTCGGAGCGTCGCATCCTCTTGGGCGCGTGCACGCGGCGCCTCTCTAACAGACATCTGTAGAGCTGCGGGCTGGGCGACACCCAACACATTTGCAAGGTTTTACAATCTGCGAGTGGAGCCGGTTTCCTCAAGGGTATTAGGTAACCCTTTGGTGATTGAGGAGACAACTCGGTAGGGTGTTGAAACACGCTTGCTGCGCCATTCTCCCTAACACGGAGGTACGTGCGCCTTTTTTATCTGTCAGTAAAGTTCCCCGTCAGGTGAGCCCTGCAGATTCCTCCGTGGCCCCCAGCACTGACTCAGCGGAGGAGTCACTTGCTGGCCCACTACGTTGTAGGTCTGCCCGCTGGTCAGCCCGCGTTTTGGGTATAGGTGCCTGCTATGCGTGATCCCCACTAGGCGATCCCATATGCTTATTCCGCCACGGTTAAGTCCCCCCCCTGGGCGGACCCGTGTCTTCCCTCTCCGCTAACCACTCTTTGCTATGCGTACTCCCCCTTTTTAGGGCTAGTCCATAGGTAAATTCTGCCATCTATCCCCCCCCTTGGGTAACGGATGGCCTCCGCAGCGTCCTCCCTATCGGGATTGCACGCTTCCCAACGTACTGTCGTATTTCCTAGAATTATCTAGATGCTCACGACTTCCCAAAAAATATATCTAAATCCGTAAAACTTCTGTTGAAGTAGGATAAATTAGGGCCAGGGACACGTTGGAGGACCGCGCCCCCCATGATGTGGGTGCGTCACGCTTGCTTGACTATCTCCTCATCGGGGGTGTTGGTAAGGTGCAGTCATTATGGCGCTTTCCATATTCTCCCATTCATGGCACTGAAGTTCCCCAACCGAAGGGGAACGTTCGAGGTTACAGAAGTAACCCTTCGTTCCCCGAGGAGGGGAACGGAAGTGCCATATTCCGTCGCCATAATGACTGTCCCTTAGCTGTTTGAAAGTCTCTTCAGCTTAAAAGGATGGCGTCTGCTGGCTTCAGGTGTGCTTATATGCTGAGATAATTGCAGATGTCGCACACCTGCGCAAGCTTACGCTGCCAATTAATTTCATTCATTGGCCCGTTCAATACTCTCCAGATAAGCGGCTTCTGATCCGAATCCTCCCATTCATGGCACTTCCGTTCCCCTCCTCGGGGAACGAAGGGTTACTTCTGTAACCTCGAACGTTTTTTTAACAGCAAATTCCTGTAGGCTAGTTTTATAACAGTGAATGGTGCTTTAGGGTACTTTTAACAACTGATGGTGCTCTAGGCTAGATTTTTTAATAGCAGGTAGTGCTCTAGGCTACTCTAGGCTAGTTTTTGAACAGCAAATGGTGATCTAGGCTATGTTTGAACAACAGATGGTGCTCTAGGCTATTTTTTAACAGGAGGTGGTGCTCTAGGCTAGTTTTTAACAGCAAATGATGTCGCTCTAGGCTATTTTTTTTTACAGCAGATGGTGCTCTAGGGTCATTTTTAAAAGCAGATTGCGCTCTACACTAGTTTCAACAGCAGACGGTGCTCTAGGCTAGTTTTTAACAGCAGACAGTGCCCTAGGCTAGTTTTTAACAGCAGACGGTGCTCTAGGCTAGTTTTGAACGGCAGACAGTGCTCTAGGCTAGTTTTTAACAGCAGACGGTGCTCTAAGCTAGTTTTGAACGGCAGACAGTGCTCTAGGCTAGTGTTTAACAGTAGACAGTGCTCTAGGCTAGTTTTTAACAGCAGACGGTGCTCTTGGCTAGTTTTTACAGCAGACGATGCTCTAGGCTAGTTTTTTTTTACAGCAGATGGTGCTCTAGGGTAATTTTTAACAGCTGATGGTGCTCTAGGCTAATTTTTAACAGCAGACGGCGCTCTAGGCTAGTTTTTAACAGCAGACGGTGCTCTAGGCTAGTTTTTACAGCAGACGATGCTCTAGGCTAGTTTTTTTTACAGCAGATGGTGCTCTAGGGTAATTTTTAACAGCTGATGGTGCTCTAGGCTAATTTTTAACAGCAAACGGCGCTCTAGGCTAGTTTTTAACAGCAGATGGTGCTCTAGGCTAGTTTTTACAGCAGACGGTGCTCCAAGCTAGTTTTTTACAGCAGATGGTGCTCTAGGGTAATTTTTAACAGCTGATGGTGCTCTAGGCTAATTTTTAACAGCAGACGGTGCTCTAGGCTAGTTTTTACAGCAGACGGTGCTCTAGGCTAGTTTTTTTTACAGCAGATGGTGCTCTAGGGTAATTTTTAAAAGCAGATTGCGCACTTTAACAGTGGAATGTGCTGTTTTTTAGTTTGTAAGAGCAAATGGGGCTCTAGACTAGTTTTTAACAATGGACGTCAGTCTAGGCTAGTTTTTAACCATACACCTAAATAATCACAAAAAAGAGCATTTGTACATTTGGCTGAATGATGTACTGTAAGTTGGCTTTCACACCACGTATTTTTTGTTTTATGCTGTAAACCACATCTTGGTTGCCATATATATATATAAACTGCTCACTGTGAACACTCTTGTTATTAGCTTAAACATATCCTAACTTTACTAATGAGTATTTTGTGTTCAAGGGGTCTGTGTGAAGAATTAGAACAAAGCAGAACATGTCTGTTTGTAAAGCACATCACCATCTGCTGTTAAAAAAATAAAGTCAGAATCCACTCAAAAGAGAGATGCATTTTGAACATCTCCATCAATATAAAATGGATTTCTTAAACTATTTCTTTCCACGGCTCCAATAACTACACATATGACAGTATATCTGTGTTTCTGTCTAATTTTCATATCTTTTTTTTTTGCTTCAAATCAAACTTTGCTGAATTGGTCGATATATGTACTAACTGTTTTGAAAAAAAGCTCATAATGAACATTCTGACCTTAATTGACAGTCACTTTATGCAAACTGAATGTTTCAATGTACCAATAACCATAATGCAATATGAATGTTATGTTTTTATCATCTAAACATTGCAGCTAATCTATGCTGTTTTTCTTTAGCAAGCAAATATAAGTTCTGCCTTTACATTGTGCCTGCCTTTGTAATGTTTACTCAGCCAACAGCATTTAAGCATCCCATTTTGCATTGATATCATTGTCAAAATAACAGCGCTGAGCTGACTAAACACAATGCTAGTCTGTAACTGTCATTGTCTTAGCGCTGAACTTGCTGCAAACCCCCATACGTTCACCATGGTAACCATAGTGTCCGCCAAAATTCCATAGTTACTACAGATATGACTACTGTAAATCCAACATACTGACATTTCAGAAGCTTTGTCATGTCTATTTCTGAGCTTGAGCTGGTGACTGTTTTAGAACATGGTAGCTGGTTACTAACCGCTTCAAGCTGGGCATTGGCTAGTGTAAATTGCAATCTAATGGTCTACCAGCCAGAGTTTGACCAGTTTAAGCTGATGCCCATTTGATTATGGTCTAAGATGATATATTTTAAAGTCAAAATCTAAGTATTGTGTTACCAGTATCTGTTCTGTTTTATGCAAAAAATAAATGATCAATATTTATATTATATATACATATATATATAATTATTATTATTATTTTTATTATTTAAATGTCTTTAGTTTTTTCTTTTTTGGTTGGTGGTATTTAAGTACACCTGTAGTTAAACTAAATGGAACTGAACAGTTTGAAGTTATATATTGTTTGGGTTGGTGTTTTATATTATGCTACAAAAACCTGTACATATTTTACAAACAGTACATATCTATCTATCTATCTATCTGTCTGTCTGTCTGTCTGTCTGTCTGTCTGTCTGTCTGTCTGTCTGTCTGTCTGTCTGTCTGTCTGTCTGTCTGTCTGTCTGTCTGTCTGTCTGTCTGTCTGTCTATTCATCCGTCTTTCCGTTCCTCCTTCTGTCTGTCTGTCTGTCTGTCTATCTATCTATTTATCTTTCCATCCATCCGTCTTTCCGTTCCTCCCTCCGTCCGTTCATCTGCCTGTCTGTCTGCCTGTCTATCTATCCATCCATCCATCCATCATCTATCTATCTATCTATCTATCTATCTATCTATCTATCTATCTATCTATCTATCTATCTATCTATCTATCTATCTATCTATCTATCTATCTATCTATCTATCTATCTATCTATCGTTCCTCCTTCTGTCTGTCTGTCTGTCTGTCTGTCTATCTGTCTGTCTGTCTGTCTATCTATCTATCTATCTATTTATCTTTCCATCCATCCGTCTTTCCGTTCCTCCCTATGTCCGTTCATCTGTCTGTCTGTCTGTCTGTCTGTCTATCTATCCATCCATCCATCATCTATCTATCTATCTATCTATCTATCTATCTATCTATCTATCTATCTATCTATCTATCTATCTATCTATCTATCTATCTATCTATCTATCTATCTATCTCTCTGTCTGTCTGTCTGTCTGTCTGTCTATTCATCCGTCTTTCCGTTCCTCCTTCTGTTTGTCTGTCTGTCTGTCTGTCTATCTATCTATTTATCTTTCCATCCATCCGTCTTTCCGTTCCTCCCTCCGTCCGTTCATCTGTCTGTCTGTCTGCCTGTCTATCTATCCATCCATCCATCATTAATCTATCTATCTATCTATCTATCTATCTATCTATCTATCTATCTATCTATCTATCTATCTATCTATCTATCTATCTATCTATCTATCTATCGATCGATCGATCGATCTATCTATCTATCTATCTATCCATCCATCCATCCATCCATCCATCCATCCATCCATCCATCCATCCATCCATCCATCCATCCATCCATCCATCCATCCATCCATCCATCCATCCATCCATCCATCCATCCATCCATCCATCCATCCATCCATCCATCCATCCATCCATCCATCCATCCATCCATCCATCCATCCATCCATATGCATCCATTCATCTATCCATCCATCCATCCATGATGAATTGCACAGTAACCTTGATTCAAACTTTAACCATCAGCTGATGAGCTCCTGCACACCTGTGAGTCTTTTGCATGATCTTCAAAAACGCCTCTATCTTTTCTCTCTCTGACAGTGACTACATCATAAAGGAGAAAACTGTACTTCTGCAGAAGAAAGACAATGAAGGCTTCGGTTTTGTGCTCAGAGGGGCCAAAGGTGAGTGATGGACATCAGCGAGCTCTCCTCCACTTTGATAACAAATCGCAGCATGGCATGGATGAGTGATTGTGTTGTACCATCTCCAGCCCAGACTCCTGTGGAGGAGTTCAGCCCGACTCCAGCCTTTCCTGCTCTGCAGTACCTGGAGTCTGTGGACGAGGGAGGTGTCGCCTGGAGGTCCGGCCTGCGGATGGGGGACTTCTTGATCGAGGTTAGCTGAGATGCAGATGTCATATAGTTGCTTTAACCACCACGGGTCAACGACAGATTCATTTTAACACACACTGTAAAATATGCTGGGTACACACAGTTTCTTCATGCTGTCCCGACACAAATCAAATGTCAAAATAAAATCAAATAAAAATCAATTATGTTAATTAATAATTTTTACCAATTTAAGTGGATTGAACACAAAATATTTAAGTTGTCCTCCAAAAAAACCTTAAAAATTGTGTTGTTTCAATTAATTTTAAACAGGTAGTTTGACCAAGCAGCAAAAGTTATTGATAAGTAGGGCCGCACGGAATCTGCGTGCGCAGAATTCCGCAGATTTCTGCTGATTTTTAGCCCATCATTAATTCTGTTTAGTTACTTGAGTAAATATGTGTAAATCTAAATTTTAGTTTTTTAATTAATTATGGTAATATTATTGACTCATATGAAAATGTTCTTCTAGTTGTTCATTTGGCATCAGAAGTGGCTTATCTTACCCCAGACATGCTCAATAATGTTTATATCTGGTGACTGGCTGGCCGGTCAATCCTATTATGCATATTCTTAATCTGTTTTACATCATATTATGATATATAAATACATATATACATAAGCAAATACACGTAGATACAAGTTCCCGTATATGTTCACTCATCTGTTGTCTATATATATATTGTATATATAGAAATAAATCTAATTAGGCGTAAAAATAAAGAAAATAAAATAAGAAAAGAAGTGAAGTTTATTTATAAACTAATTTCGAGAGGATCACGTGCTTATGATTGACATGGCTGGCCCTGCATTAGCTAACGTATCATTCATCAATCAGACGATTCCTAACTTAGTATAAATAAACAAAGCATCTTACCCTTAGTCATCTTTGTCTTGAAGAATACCTCCTTCCTTCCCCTCTCCTCCTCTTTTTTCCTTTATAGGGCAGCATGGCGGCCCAGTGGCTAGCACTGTTGCCTCACAGCAAGAATGTCTCTGGTTCGGGTCTTTATCCGGCTAGTTGACATTTCTGTGCAGAGTTCATGTTCTCTCCGTGCTCGTGTGGGCTCCGGTTTCCTCCCACAGCCCAAAACATGAGACTTAAGTAAATTGACTAAATCCAAATCAGCACCATAGACAAATTTCACCAGCAGCATACCCTCATAACAATCCTTAAAGCAGCGAGTGGGTGGGGGGTTCTCGAGATCAACCTGAGCTCAAAATCCCCTCTCGCTCTGCAAATGGGAGGGAGCCCCGGGCTCGAGGATCTTATGAGCTCAGGGCTCTCTCCTTGGACAGCATGCCAAACACATTTTATAATCATTCATCAGCTAAGTGTGAACTCTTGAAATAAAATAAAATAGATTTTCATAAAATGGAGAGAAGAAAAAACTGTGAGAAACAAATAATCAACAGTTAGACTGCAAATATTAAGTTTGGATCCATTTGCTCTGTTGTCGACTCCAAATTTTGAACATTAGATATGAAATCCAGCTATTCAGATTTTGTTGGGGGTTTGAGTTGCAACCACTTTTGAGTTTTCCTGCTGGTTGCTAGAAGATTTTTTAATAAACACTTGTCTTTTACCATTAAGTTGGCTGCTATATTTCCCAAGTAAGTCGCTGTAAAAGAGAAGTCTATTCCATCATCAAAAATAAACAAATAGTTTAAATAATTGACAACCTTCACGTCTTAAAGAAAACCATAGGTATCAAGACTTGTATGCCTTAATGCAATGTAAACGACGCCTCTTTCTGAAATATGTAGAATTGTAATATTTATATCTAAATATATGTAAATTAATTCACCAGAAATTACCTCTAAACGGCTGCGCTTGTGTTTGTATTTGATGGAGAAACAGATGGAGCGCCATAGGCGGACATCATGATAAGACAATGGCTTTTTTTTGCTCCATTGTCCAAAAACAAAAGTGAATTTCGTTGAATAACGTAAATATGTTGTGCTTTTTTCTAGATCTTTTGCAAAGAGGCATTATTTACATTATATTAATACATACAAATTCGGCGACGTGGTGCCTCACAGCAAGAAGTTCACTGGTTCGAGCCTCGGTTGGGTCAGTTGGCATTTCTGTGTGGAGTTTGCATGTTCTCCCTGTGTTTGCATGGGTTTCCTCCGGGTGCTCCGATTTCCCCCACGAGTCCAAATACATGTGCTATTGGGGAATTGGGTAAGCCAAATCTGTATGTCTGTAGTGTGTGTGTGTGTGATTGATTGTGTATGGATGTTTCCCAGTGATGGGTTGCAGCAGAAAGTGCATCCGCTGCGTAAAACATATGCTGGATAAGTTGGCAGTTCATTCCGCTTTGGCGACCCCTGATTAATAAAATAACTAAGCCAAAAAGAAAATGAATGAATGAATGACACTACAAGTCTTAATACCTAGGGTTTAAATCCTAAGATGTGAAGGGTGTAATGAAAACTACTGTGTAAATGTTTTTTTATTATCTATAGGTAGTAATATAATAATAACATTATTAGTAATATATTTAAACAATATTTAGAGTAAAACTGTAAATTCATAATGCAAAAACTGCCTTATGAGCAATGTTGATGTGTTTATTACTATATCTAAATAACCAGCAATCGTTTGGGTTCTACTGTTAACCATATACTAATGCAATGTGTAGGTAAATGTTGAGTACAGCATATCGGATGATCATTTTTGTGTCCTGTTAAACCACTTAATAAATACAGATAGAAAGCCAAAAGTAGTTTAACGGTACAGTCTCCTGTCTTTGAGGTGTTAAGCCCAACACTAAACAAATCTTCACACCTACAGCGAGGTGATAAACCTCACCGTGATACTTGTGTTACCTACTTAAATTTGATTCTGGAGGAGGAGATGACATGCATCTTATGCGCTGTGTATCTGTCATCTTGATTCTTTGCTACTGCAAAATATATATATATATATTATTTTTATTTTTTTTTTTTTTCTGACACATTGCCCTGTTAGCAAACACCTTGACCTCACGGTTCCCAGCTGGTTAATTTGGACCGCGTGAATCATGTTGAATCATTTGGAGTCCAGTCTGATGATAATACTTTAGACACCCACTTGGCCTTCGCTATATCTCTTTCTCTCTAAGCTGCAAATCAAATTTCCTTTCTTATAATTGTTAAATGCAATTGCATTTTTAAATAGTGTTTGTAAAGATGTAAGTGACTCAGGTATGGAGCCACTAAAAAAGTGTGTAAAAACAGTATTGTAAAATGTGTGTAAAATTAAAAATATTTGATTTTTAAATTTTTTTTTTTTGCTCACAAAAGCTTGCTGCCATATCCAATCTACTGCAAAAAACAAAAAAAAAACAAAAAAAAAAACAGTAGAAATATGTTAATTATGTAAAATGATTTCTAGGTTACTTAGTTTGCAGTATGTTAATATCACTACAATATTATAGACTGAAAGGTCCGCTGTAAATGCTGCTCTACGAATGTAAACGTGTAAACACTGCAATCAAGCTATTACCGTTGTGTGGGATATTCACTGCATTTTGTGACAGGATGCTACCGATGCATCTTAGGCCGTACTCACACTAGGTACAGTTGCCTCGAACCGAGCCAAAGCACGCTTGTCCCCCCTCCCGTCTCCCCCGACGGCCCGCACTCACACCACAACCGGGCCTCGGCACGCTTACGTCATCGATGCTGCACTGTTCAGTGAGAAGCGCTCTCTCACTCAGTAGCACGGTGGAGATTTCTCTAGTTATATCGTTTCAGTCGTTTGATATGCAGTGACATGCAGTCAAATATTTCGCCAAACAGTCCTTAGGGATGCGGGGACACGCAGTCAGATATTTCCTGCCACTTTTGGCGCTCATAAACAATTATAAAGCCCTCGTGCTGCAGGAATGAGGAGGTCTGCTGAAGGTGCGCAGCTGTCGTGCAGTGAGGAGTTCTCGTCTTTAATAAACTACGGCAGTTTGCGTTCACTGAACAGTAAGAATGATTAATAAATCCATATGAAACAGCCCCTTAAAAGTCACGTCTCGCTTTCAGTTTCGGGCTTTTGGGTTTTGCACTCACACACAAGCGTACCGCGCCAAAGCCTAAGTGAACTGCTTAGGCACACCTCTTCCAACCGGGCCAGGGCCGGCCAAGTGAACCGTGCTTGAGCCCGATTCAGCGCACTCACACTTCTCAAACGATCCGGGAAACGGGCCTGGGCACGGTACGGACGGCATAGTGTGAGTAGGCCCTAAGTTACAGAGAAATAGGGAGGTTTTTTTTTTCCCTCATTCGCCGTGAGGTAACAAACATTGCATTAAAAATACACGCTTTCAGCAAATATCTCGTTTGTCACGAGGGGCATGAATGAAATGAAATGTTCCTAAATGAAAGAGCCAAACTGCAGTTAAAGTCCACCATTTAATAATTTGTCAAATAATTTGATTACATGTAAACACAGTCTTTCTCCCCTGCGTCTGTGTTTGTTTTGCCTCTGTGAAAATCAACGTGTGCCCAAACTGAAACTCACGTTTTTTATCAATGTCGTAAATTATTGCCACTTTTTAATATGTTTAAAAGGATTTTTAGCAGGTTAGGTCTTAATTTCACAAATACAATGTTCATTTATGGTCACAAGTACTCTTTTAATAACAAAGAGATTTGTACTTTTTACAACTTTCTGATTGGCCAGGCAAAATTAGGGAAGGCATACAGAGCTGACTTGGAAGATCAGAAAGTTAATGCAATTATTATGTTTAAAGGTTTTGTAGAATCAAGAATTTGTTTAGAATATGAATATTATCGAATGAAAAGTGACGAATTGAGTTTTGAAAAAAATTGGTGCATTAACAATGGCTTTGTGTTTGTGGAAGACAATTTTTTTTTTTTTTTAAATAGCTTTTTAAAAGTCAAAAAGTCTCATTACTTTACTTTTAAATATCACTGTTTGTTTTGTACAATTTGTTTATTATTGTAATTAAATAACGTTGTGTTAATGGGACGGCATAGTGAGTCAGACCTAGTTTTTGAACATTTAACCTCAGCTAGCTATATTTTTATTTAAAAATCCTCTTTTGCAAACAAATTTCGTTTGGTATAATCCTGATGTATTTTTGTAGTTGTTTAAATAATAAACTGAAGAATAAATTAGAGGGGAAATTAAGTGCATTCAGGGCCAAAACAAAACCTCGACCACATATATTGTCAGATTTTGTGACAATAAATTAATCTTGGCTATATTTGTCATTATGATTAGTGTTTTTATTCATTCATTTATTTTTTCATCAAATATGCATAGGGTAAATAAATAATTAACTTGAGCATATAGCAGCAGCCAATAGCTTAACATAAGATCATAATTTTACCTCCAGTGCTAATTGAAGACATCGATCCGCCAAAAGTATCCGATCTGCTCCAGATTCATATACATACTGTATACAGGCTATATTTCATTTATAACTCAGCAAGCTTGACATCGCAGGCAGATCCAAACCAAAATGCTTTATAACCAAAATGCAAAAGGTGTACGTGCTTTATAGGAATTTGAAAATGAAAGCGAACTTCATCCCGCAGCACTATTTAATAGCCTACACTGTAAAAAATGGCCGTGATTTCAACGGTAAAAATGCTACAGTACAAATCCATAACCTGGTTAACGGTATGTTTCCTTAAAATATAGGCGAAATATAGGTAAAATGACTTTCCCAGAATTCCCTGCATGGCACATCACTTTTTATGCATTTGGTTGACATTATTATGGATCTTTTTAGTTGTTTCCCCCTTGGTAATGTACATTAGAGATTTATGTTACATCTAATGTTGATAAACAATGTTTATTTCATGACTTTAATTTTATGCGTGTTACCATACTGGTGTTTAGTAGCTGTGTGTATGACCCTGAGCACCTTCTATATGCTGATACTCTTTTCTGCTTGTGGGGAAAGTTGATTGTGATGAGCATTGGTTCATTATGTAACTTCCTCATCACCATCTGCATGTGGGTGTGCTAACGTGTCTAACTGTTTACAGTGTAGAATGCTGGCGGTCGCGAAATTAAAAAGCGTAAAACTTGTGATCATGCATTTAAACTGGGCGCCTTGGGTGTTCATCGTGCTCAGAAAGGAGCATTAAAACTGTAACATGTAACTGCTTCATTCAGGAGGATTTGAAAAAACAGACTCGACTCTGGGAGTTGATTCCTGTCCTGGAGTCGACTCCGGTACTTATTCCATTGAGAGACGAGGAATCAACTCTTTTTAAAGTCGACTCCCCATCCCTACCATGATATTTCAGGTGGTATAGTCTCGTAAGATAATTTAGTGGTATCGCGACAACCCTATTTGTAAGTGCATTTTCATATTTCATTTGGTTTCAAGAGTTCACACTTAGATACTATTTGACAACTTGTTAGCAAGTTAGCAGGCTTGGCATGCTGTCCCGGGAGAGAACCCTGAGCTCGGAGATAGTTGAGCCCAGGGCTCCCGCCAGATCCCAAAAGCATGGGAGGGGAGTACCAGGTCAAGTGTTCTCGAGAGCTCCCCTCGGCAAAAGAGGAAAGGAGGAGAAGGGGTGGATGGGGGGTTTCTTCGGAAAACGAAGGTAAGGGAGTAGTTCTTAGCTAGGTTACTTATAGTGAGTTTGGATCAATCCGATTGGCTAACCAATGAGTGTAGATGAGTGGCCAGCTGCAGTCAATCATATCACGTGCTCCTCTCGAAATTAGTTTGTGAAACTTCATTTATTTAATTTTTCTGTCCTTAATGACATGCACAGATGAATTGTTCACCACAAAACTAGAAATGTGAGCTAACAAAATCAATAGGGCTAGTTTCGATTTTTATGTGTGCTTTAAAAGTAAGAATAATGGTAACTTTGCTAGAGTGTGATTTTTCAGCGCTCTTTCCAGCACTGCTTTAGACTCAACAGAATAGCGTGTTCACGACGGCTGTATTTTGGCAGGTGAATGGGATCAATGTAGTGAAGGTGGGCCACAGGCAGGTGGTGAACATGATTCGCCAGGGAGGGAACAGTCTGATGGTGAAGGTCGTCATGGTAGCACGAAATCCAGAGATGGAGGAAATGCCTAAGAAGAAAGGTCAGAGACTGTTTTTAACTGTGAATTGGTCTGTGGGAGTCTGAATGAATGGCACTGCAGCATGTTTTTTGATTTGATTTACCAAAGCTTTCTCTTTCTTTAGTTCCCCAGCAAAGTAAGCGGCTGACCCCTCCGGCTATAGCGATACGCTCCAAATCCATGACTTCAGAACTGGAGGAGATGGGTACACGCTTACAAACACACAAACGCACCTCGCATACACCTACAGTTGAAGTCAGGATTGTTAGACCTCCTGAATTATTAGCCTCCCTGTTTATTATTATTTCTAATCACTGATTTATTTAATTTTTGCCATGATGACAGCACATAATATTTGACTAGATATCTTTCAAGATACTAGTATTCAGCTTAAAGTGTCATTTAAAGGCTTAATTAGGTTAATTAGGCAAGTTAGGGTAATTAGGCAAGTCAATAGGCCCTTTCACACAGCGATACTGATAAATATCCGGAAAATTACCAGAACGACTTTACCGGTATATTAAAAAAAAAGCGCTGTTCACATAGGCGAGGACATTCTGGAATTTTTCCCATTCACAATACCCAACCCAAGCTCATTCTGGAAACGTAGCCCCACGGACGTTTCTGGAGACCGCGATTTACGTAGCCGGAGGTACGTACGACCGCGTTTAGTTTTTTTCAAGCAAACGCTGGCTGACGGCTCGTCTCCGAGTGGAGGGCTTTCCCGATGCAACCAGTTTGTCCGCTTAGCTCACAGCGTTACGTCGGCGGAGCGGAGGCCCCGTAGGAGGAGGAGGAGCCGGCCGCGGGGAGGACGACCAGGATCTAGTCCGGGGAAGGGGAACAGCGGTTCCAGAAATCAGGTAAGATGAAAAACAGAATCCGAAAAATAAGGGCGAGAACGCGGCGGATCCGAAAACGCGGTCGAAATCGAAAACGAGGGCTTTTGCTTTTTTTTTTTTTCTGGACGGCTTTTGCAAACCATCGCTCGGGTTTAGGGAAGGAGGAGGAGGAAGAGGAGGGCGGCCGGGTCGGCCGATCCGGCAGCTTTTCGCGCGAGAACAGCGCAGGCGCGAACGGCGCGCGCTCCCGAGAGGCGCCCGAGACACGAAAAAGCGCGCACAGCAGCCTCTCACGGATCCGTAAAAACAAAACCCGCTCGAATACGTACCTCCCGGGACGTATCTCGCGGTCCGCAGAAACGTCCGCGGGGCTACGTTTCCACAATGAGCCCGGGTTGACAATACCGGTATATTCTGAAATCATAAACCAGAAATGAACTCTAAACAGCTACGCTCGTATGTGTAAACATAGAAGGGGTAAGAGACCACCAAAGGCAGAAGCGCAAACCGCAGCTAAATTTTTACACATTTGACGACATTACAAATTTTGTGGATGGATAAGTATTGTGAGCAATTGCGACGAAAATATATGGAGGAACACTTTCGCGTGTCGAGATGTAGATAATATGTGTGTGTGCTGGCGCTCACTAACTGCTTCACATGCACACGCGTCAAGCAACTGAAGCAGAGCTTGAAGGTAAAGAAACAGCAGTTTATCATAAGCATTTTATCAATCATTTTTTACACAGTTGGCATTAAGAAGGAACATAGAAACATTATCTGACTAACATCTTGCAGATAAATGTGTCTGGAAAAATATTCAAAGGCTTTTATTTTTATAAACATGTGGATGTTAATGTGTGAGTGTTCTGATTGACTGGAGTAGACGTCTCAGGTCAGCGCGTTCTAGACGTGAACACGCTCTTTCTGGCAATCTTCCTTCTGTGTTCACACAGCGCAGCATTCCGGCAAATTACCGGTAATGTTACAAGTTCTCTTTCTGGAAAACATCCCGAATGAATTTACGATTATTTTCAAAAAGGCCCTGTTCACACATACAGACCTGAGATACTGTATGTATGTGTGAACAGAGGCTATTGTATAACAGTGGTTTTTTCTGTAGACAATCCAAAACAAATATTGTTTAAGAGGGCTAATGATATTGACCTTGGAAAATGGTTTAAATAAAAATAAAAACAGCTTAAAAAACAGCCGAAATAAAACAAAAAAGTCTTTATCCAAAAGAAAAAAATATTATAGGAAATACTGTGAAAAGTTCCTAAATCTGTTAAGCATTATTTATAATAATGATAATAATTGAATAATTATAATAATTGAAAGATCACTGGAGGGTGAATCATTTTGACTTCAAGTGTATATGCATTAAGGACATGAAGTCTCTCACCAAACACAATGACAAATGATGTTTTTATTTTTGATTAATGATTTGTTTGTTTGTTTTTCTCTCCTTTTCTGTGTTTTGCATACAGTTGAGAAAGGTATGTGCAATTTAATGTCGTTATTAAAAATCAAGATTATATATAAGACTAAGATTATATTAGAATAAAACTAATTTCACAGTAGAATTTAAATACATCGACAAACAATTTATGAAAATAGTTTACTCATTCTTTCTCTCTCTCTCTGTCTATTTATATACTTTATATAATAATGCATTTCTATTTGTGTGTGTGTGTGTGTGTGTGTGTGTGTACGTGTGTGTGTGTATACAGTGCCCAGCATATGAGTACACCCCTTACAGATCTCTCTTTTAAATGAATAATTTCCATTGGATGCCATCCACTTACTGTAGATATTTGTGTTTAATATTCATTAGATTAATCAGTACCAAAGCCAGAACTGGAATTAACTTAACAAATTAACTTAAAATCACACTACAAAAAATTAGCACACTATTGATTATGCTGGTGACATATTAAAAACTATTTTAAAAAAGAAAAAAAATGAACAGAAACACAGAACTATTGCAACAACTAATAATAATTTATAATAAATGTTTTATCTATTCCAGGGCTCTACGGTAACATTTTTTTATTAGGAGCACGTGCGCTCCTAATCTGAAAGATTTAGGAGCGTATACAATTTTATTTTCTCCTTAAATGCCACAATATTGTTGTGCTACATAAAATACAAAAGTATGAAGAGCATTTCTTAATATAAATAATAGAAGAAACATAGCTTTGAATAAATATTTAATATTTTCAGGTTCAGAAAAACAGTTATAAACAGGCTGTCCTAAAAAAATCCTGCACTAATTTTACCTGCACAAATACACAATGTACAGATGTCATAGTGTAGTGCTGAAAAGATTTTAAAGGAGCGTTCATAAATAAAACTTCTGTCTTCATTAACCACCCTAAGTCTGGGGTATCATGTCTGCACATCTGACATCATTGTCATAGCAAGGGTTAATATCTTTTTTTTTTTTCTTATGAAGCAAAAGTAATGGAATGAGTAGCAGCTCTACGAATACAATTATAATAGATTAATAATAATCATAAATCAACATCTGTGACCCACAAACTGCATGAACAACATAAATAATAATTTTTTAGATAACATACATTTTAACCTGCAGCATGGTGCAGTAGGTAGTGTTGTCGCCTCACATCAAGAAGGTCGCTAGTTCGAGCCTCGGCTGGGTCAGTTGGCATTTCTGTGTGGAGTTTGCATGTTCTTCCCGCGTTGGCGTGGGTTTCCTCCGGGTGCTCCGGCTTCCCCCACACATGTCCAAAGACATGGTATAGGTGAATTGAGTAAACAAAATAGTCCATAGTGTATGTGTGTGAATGGGATTGTATGGATGTTTCCCAGCAATGGGTTGCAGCTGGAAGGGCATCCGCTGCGTAAAACATATGCTGGATAAGTTGGCAATTCATTCCACTGTGGTGACCCCAGATTAATAAGCTAAGCCGAAAAGAAAATGAATGAATTAATATATTTTTAATAAAATAACAGTGAATCTTATACTTTCTCACTGTCTATAACTTTATCTCATTTTAAAAAAAGTCCAAATATAAGCATAAACTTAAAATGACTATATATTTAGATATTGTAACGGTCCCTATTTAAATATGTCTCATGACAACGTAACATAATAAACAACAGCCAAAGTGCTCCAACTAAACTATATATGAACATAACCAACAGAACAATCCAAAATGGCAAGAGATGGGGAGCCTAACAGCATAATGAATAACAACCAAACAGGTTAGAACTCCCCACTCCAATCAAATAACAAAAGGAAAGTATAAAGAAGAACACAACAATAAAGCCGTCAAAAATTGTGGAGAAATGAGGGATCACGAGGAGTCGGCTTCCGTCTGTTCTAAAGGCCTGACGCCACTAAATAAACGAATAGAAAACTGAAAATGGGTAAAAAGACAAACAAGATCAATTGAAATTATAATTATGGGCAGGAGTGAACGCCACACGCAACATACAGTTGAAGTCAGAATTATTAGCCCCCCTTTTAATTTTTTTTTCTATTTTTAAATATTTCCCAAATGATGTTTAACAGAGTGAGGACATTTTCACAGTATATCTAATAATATTTTTTCTTCTGGAGAAAGTCTTATTTGATTCATTTTGGCTAGAATAAAAGCAGTTTTTAATTTTTTAAAAATTATTTTAAGGTCAAAATGATTAGCCCCTTTAAGCTATATTTTTGTTTGATAGTCTACAGAACAAACCATCATTATACAATAACTTGCCTAATTCCCCTAACCTGCCTAGTTATCCTAATTAACCTAGTTAAGCCTTTAAATGTCACTTTAAGCTGTGTAGAAGTGTCTTGAAAAATATCTAGTCAAATATTATTTACTGTCATCATGACAAAGATAAAATAAATCAGTTATTAGAGATGAGTTATTAAAACTATTATGTTTAGAAATTTGTTGAAAAAGTCTGCTCTCCGATAAACAGAAATTAGGGAAGAAAATAAACAGGTGGGGCTACTAATACAGGAGGACTAATAATTCTGACTTCAACTAATATATATATAATTTTTATCTTGTCCCGGTAAAGAATTTCTGATGACGTGACCAATTTTTTTTCTCTCTAAATTTAACACACTTGCACTTATGCCAACTAGCCCGGCTGGCACTTGAACCAGAGACCTTCTTGCTGTGAGGCCCCAGTGGTAACCACTAAGTCACCGTGCCGCTCATTGATATAACTGTTTAAAACACATTGTTAATATTCCCTGAGAAATTAAAAAGGTTATTCATTCATTCATTTTCTTTTCAGCTTAGTCCTTTTATTTGTCAGGAGTCGCCACAGCTGAATAAACCGCCAACTTATCCAGCATATGTTTTACGCAGTGGATGCCTTTCCAGCCGCAACCCAACACTGCATAACACCCATACACTACAACCAACTCAGCTTAGTCAATTCACCTATCGCACATGTCTTTGGACTTGTGGGGGAAAACCAGAGCACCCAGAGGAAACCCACACGAACACAGGGAGGACATGCAAACTCCACACAGAAATGCCACTGACCCAACCGGGGCTCGAACAAGAGACCGTCTTGCTGTGAGGTGATCGGTGCTACTCACTGCACCACGGTGATGCCAAGGATATTCATTTTAAAAATATTCAATATTTATTTTATTTCTGCTGAGCACTGTATATCTCTATATGTTAGTATAAACACTAGGGATGTAACAGTATCAGAATTTCACGGTACGGTAATACCTCGGTATGAATGGCACGGTACGGTATTTATTGAATAATTTACAGGAAAAACAAAACTAATGAAAAGACTCGAAAAAAGAGCCAAAAGTGTTTATTTACCTTAGCACTGAACATATCAATGACATACAAATCAGCCATCTATCTGTAAGTTTCGAAACAGGAACTTAAATTTTTCAATTTTAATAACAAAAAACTATTAAACCATATATAAAAAAATAAAGTTTCAACTTAGTATTGTTGAAAACTGATGACATTCAACATTTAATCACGCACTCACTCACTCAGATAGAGATGGGCTTTTTTTTTTTTTTTTAAGATTTATTTTTGGCCTTTTTGCCTTTATTATTAGATAGGACAGTATTGAGACAGGAAGCGAAGTGGGAGAGAGAAAGAGGGGTTAGGGTAGGGAAATGTCGTCGAGCTGGGATTCGAACTCGCAACGCCCTGACATGCTATTGCACCATATGTCGGCGCGCTAACCACTAGGCTATTGCGCCGACGTGAGATGGGTTTTTTAAGGAGAATTATCATAGAACTATAATCTGGTAAAAGCTGGGATCTCTGGGCATTTACAATGTCCCCTGCAACAGAAAAAAAAAAAAAACTCTCATTTGGGACTGAGGTTTCTGGGACAGAGAGATATGATTTAGCCAAGGTTGACAGCAGTGGGTAACGCTGTGCATTGTCTTTCCACAACTTAAGAGGACAAGCCATGAGTGAGATAGAGCTCTCTTTGCGGTACAAGTTACTGTCTGCATCAATCTAACAAGTGTGCTGTGTTCTGCAGTCCCCATGACTGTATTTAGTCGTATTCCCCGACTTATATTTCACCACAGTCTGGCAGTGCCTGCATACTGTTTTTTTTCTTTGTCTGTCACCTTTTCTCCTTTTTCGTATCTTTTTAGAAAGAAACCGAAATGCTTCCACACATCCGATTTAAAATCCGCTTTAGGTTTGATGATTTCCTGCTCTTTTTCTTCCCCGCTACTAGCAGCACACTCCATTTCCGCATTACTGGATCTGTAGTGCCAACAGACCGCAAGGGATGATGGCCACGCCTAGGCTGATGGAAATTGTAGTTCCCGCTACCTCCCGTTCGATTCATTCGCCTAAGCAAACTTTTCTCAGAAATATAGTTTTATTGAGTCATGCGCCTACGGTAATATCGAAAAAAATTACTATTGCGGTATGACGGTATTTACAATATTGTTACATCCCTAATAAACACACACACATACAGCTTCGAAAAGTATTAAGAGACCACTTAAGTTATCAAAGTTAATACATCTTTATGTTTTTCTATGTCTTTTCTCCATGTTCATTCTTTAATGTATTTTTTTCTCATGTTTTCCTTCAGGCTTAAGTGTGAAATGAAAATAACTTAAATTTCATATAAACGTTACTCAGGCTTCTCGTATGAAATGTTTCTAATGTCCTTTTATTAGCTAATATTGGCTGTTGTATTAATAGTAAGAACATTGTTAACCTGAGGCGGCGGTGCATTTAAAACATTAGGCAACAGTATGCTATTTGGATATATTGGTTATAAAATTTGTTTCTTGTTAGTGGCAATGAAAACGTTCTAATGTTTGTTGGCTGTCAGTCCTCCTCTGAGTTTGTTTCCATGACAACTCCAAATGGACTGCAAACTTGAGAAAACACTTGCTGCTTATGTTATGCAGTTACAGGGGAATCATTTAAAAGGAGACAAATGACAGCTAAATATGAGTATATATTACATTGCCTCAGTGAACTGTGCACCTGTGGAACATTACTGCATATTTAATGGTATGTATCCCCTGTTACAGCTGCCTCACCATGGAAGAAGAAACCTGGTAACAAGATATATATATTTTTTTCATTTTTATGTATGTGAATATCACAGCAAGAAGGTCGCTGGTTCGATCCTTGGCTCAATTGGCGTTTCTGTGTGGAGTTTGCATGTTCTCCCTGCGTTCGCGTGGGTTTCCTCCGGGTGCTCCGGTTTCCCCCACAGTCCAAAGACGTGGGGGAAACCGGCTGGAAGGGCATCCGCTGCGTAAAAACGCGCTGGATAAGTTGGCGGTTCATTCCACTGTGGCGACCACAGATTTATAAAGGGGCTAAGCCGACAAGAAAATAAATGAATGAGTTCATTCCACTAGGGCGACCCCTGGTAAATAGTCTTTATTTTTTTTATTTTCACAGACATATCAAGACAAGTTTGCAAAGGTCACACTTACACACACACACACACACACACACACACACACACACACACACACACACACACACAAGAGCATGCTCACAAACACAAATGCAATCACACACACACACATGCGCTCACACATAAATGCACAAACACACACACACACTCTCTCTCTCTCTCACACACATACACACGCACACATCCCCATAAGCGCACAATTGCTCATACATGCCATTATATGAATATGAAGCCAAAAAGTTTTCAAAATTAAATAAAAAAGAAGCTGAAATGATGACAAAGAGAGACATAATTATGGAAGTTAAAATAATAGTTTTTACAAATATTATTATGAATATTAGATCATTAAAATCAGGATCTAAAGAGGTAAATTATAGGACAAAGTGGTAATTATGACAAAATCACATTCATAAAAGTCAACATTTAAATTATGAGCTAAAATATCACAGTGAAGTCCAATCTACCAAAAACAACCATGAAAAAAATGTCAGATTTATGAGGTCAACAAGTCCAACCTGACAAATATTAATTATGCATAAAATGTCTGAATTATGGCGCAGTGTGTAGCACAATCGCCTCACAGCAAGAAGGCCACTGATTCCAGCTTCGGCTGGGTCGGTTGGTGTTTCTGTGTGGAGTTTGCATGTTCTCCCTATGTTTGCGTGGGTTTCCACCGGGTGCTCCGGTTTCCCTCACAGTCCAAACACATGCGCTATAGGGGAATTGGGTAGGCTAAATCGTCCGTAGTGTATGAGTGTGAATGGAAGAGCATCCGCTGCATAAAACATATGCTGGATAAGTTGGCGGTTCACTCCGCAGTGGCGACCCCAGATTAATAAAGGTACTAAGCTGCAAATAAAATGATGGAAAGAATGAATGTACGCTTATGTATGTACAGTATTTATTCTGCATGTATTGCTAATCATTTGCACTAAATTATTAACTCATTTATTGATTTTTCTTTAGATGAGTCCCTTATTTATCAAAGCCTACCACAACGGAATGAATCGGCAACTATTCTGGCATATGTTTTATGCAGCGGATGCCCTTCCAGCCGCAACCCAGTACAGGGAAATATATTATTAACTATTATTATTTATAATTAATAAACTATAAGGCAAAGGAGTGGCGCAGTAAGTAGTGCTTTTGCCTCACAGCAAGAAGGTTGCTGGGTCACTGGTTCGAGCCTCGGCTCAGTTGGCGTTTCTGTGTGGAGTTTGCATGTTCTCCCTGCGTTCCTGTGGGTTTCCTCCAGGTGCTCCGGTTTCCCCCCACAGTCCAAAGACATGCGGTACAGGTGAATTGGGTAGGCTAAACTGTCTGTAATGTATGAGTGTGTGTGTGTGTGTGAATGTGTGAGTGGCTGTTTAACGTAAAAACTTGCTGGATAAGTTGGCGGTTCATTCCGCTGTTGCGACCCCGGAATAATAAAGGGACAAGAAAATGAATGGATGAATAATAAACTATAATTAGTGAAGTTTAATTTATTAAACTAATTTCGAGAGGAGTACGCGCTCATGATTAACCCAGCTGGCTCATATTAGCTAATCACGATCCTCCAATCAAAGGATCCCAAGTTCCTTTATATATCCTCCTTTTCCATTTACAACTATCTTCGTCTTGAAGAAACCCCCCACCTCCCCCTTCTTCCACCTTTATCCAAAATAGGTGGCCCGGCGGCCCAGCGACCAGCAGGAATTCCGATGGCTCTGGCTCCTTACTTGAGCATCTGGTGTTTCTGGGTGTAGACACGTTTTCCCCGAGGTCTTCGGTTTTCTCTCAAAGCCTAAATATACTCTGCATTAGACCACTTAAACCCAAGTCTCTTTTACTAGTCGTCTTGCTCTCAGGAGTTTCACCTTGGCCTGGAGTTTGAGATCGCCCTAAGCTCAATCTCCCCTCGCCTCACAAAGGGAGGGAGCCCTGGACTCGAGGATCCCTTGAGCTCAGGACTCTCTCCCGGGACAGCATGCCAAACAAGCTTTCGTAAGTCATGAGCTAACGCCCCATTTACACGGGGCGTCAGCGTCAACGCTTCCCATTCACTTTGAATGGGTGACGTCAGGCGTTGCCGAACTGCGTTGTGGATCCGTTGGCGCCGATTCAGAGGCGTTGCTCGCTGCAGAAGTTGGGACTAGCTCAACTTTTCAAGTGCCGATGGAAGCGTCAGCCAATCAGACCGCTGTATGCAAATACACCAGCTAGACAGTGGCCTATTGCTGACTGAATTTCATTGGCTGATGCTGCTATGACGATCGCTTCAGCCCCAACCTCAAACACGCCTTCAGTCAAGCGCTGACGCTGAAGCCCCGTGTGAATGGGGAGTAAGTGTAAACTCTCGAAACAATTTAATTATTCTAATTACATGAGTCAACATATTTAGTTTATTCCCATCTATTTTCTAATTACAAATGGCAAACTTGAGAGTTTTAGTCATATATTCTGAAGAGTTTTCCGGAAGTGCTTATTTCATTCATTCATTTTCTTGTCGGCTTAGTCCCTTTATTAATCCGGGGTCGCCACAGCGGAACAAACCGCCAACTTATCCAGCAAGTTTTTACACAGCAAATGCCCTTCCAGCTGCAACCCATCTCTGGGAAACATCCACACACACACACACACGGACAGTTTAGCCTACCCAATTCACCTGTACCGCATGCGTTTGGACTGTGGGGGAAACCGGAGCACCCGGAGGAAACCCACGCGAAGGCAGGGAGAACATGCAAACTCCACACAGAAACGCCAACTGAGCCGAGGTTCAAACCAGCGACCTTCTTGCTGTGAGGCGACAGCACTACCTACTACGCCACTGCCTCGCCCAAGTGCTCATTTATCTATCTATTTTAAATCATATGTGAATGTTGTCCTCTGTCTGGTGTTTTCCCAGATTTAGAAACGGTACTGTAACACGTGCATTACAACATACTGTACATTAGTGCGTGTTTAAATATTTAAGCTTGACATAATGAGCCATGCTCTAATTTGCAGCGTATTGTAATATATTCCAGATCTCCATATTAATTTGTCTTGAAGTACTGTCATTAATCAGCTCAGGGGATATTTATTAGTTACATTTTGGTTTCCCGTTCGCTCGTGGTTTCATCTCCTAACTGAGCCGTTTTTTTTTCCCCACACAGAGTGCTCAATCACAGTGTGAAAGGTAATATTAATTAAATCAAGTTAATTAGAAAGCCATTGGAATGAATCAGATGAAGAAATGAAATGTGTAAGTATGGAGCACTGGCAGCAATTAGAGTGTGGAGTCTCTTTGGGTTTCTCCTCCAGAATCAGGCTGAATGAGGACTGATTGTCAACCGCATTCACAAAGGTGAAGTGTGTCATTTTCCAGAAGGTGTGCTGAACTATAGCGAACGCTCAGCTTGACCTTCATTTCCGCTGTGATGAATGAACTGAAGCTGATTTCAGAGCGACTGCTCGTTTCATCAGCCTCACAGGACTGAAGAGATGTTTTTCTCAAAATGCATTAAAAATGTACAATAATAAAAAAAAGACGCATTTGTTTCTGGCATGATAGCTGGATGGCTGAATTAAACATGAGGTCATGTGACTGTATTGTAGCGTTCTGCTGTTTAAAACGCTTAATGCATAATGCATACTGATTTCAAAAATAGTATGCAGTATTTAGTGCATGCATAAAACGGTGCATAGAATGGATTATTTAAGTGTCTTTATTTCTGAGAATATTTCAGCACTGAAAATACAAAACACGAATAACTTTTTAGTGGAATGTATCATAACATACAGTTGAAGTCAAAATTATTAGCCCCCCTTCAAATTTTTTTTCTTCTTTTTAAAATATTTTCCAAATGATGTTTAACAGAGCAAGGAAATTTTCACAGTATGTCTGATAATATTTTTTCTTCTGGAGAAAGTCTTATTTGTTTTATTTCGGCTAGAATAAATGCAGTTTTTTATTTTTTAAACCACATTTTTTTAGCCACAGCCATATCACCCTGCAGCCCAAGACCGGTTACTCACTGAAGCTAAGCAGGGCTGAGCCTGGTAAGTACCTGGATGGGAGACCACTAGGGAACACTAGTTTGCTGTTGGAAGTGGTGTTAGTGAGGCCAGCAGGGGGCGCTCAACCTGTGGTCTGCATGAGTCCTAATGCCTCAGTATAAGTGAAGGGGACACTACACTGTCAGTGGGCGCCGTCTTTCGGATGAGACGTTAAACCGAGGTCCTGACTCTCTGTGGTCATTAAAAATCCCATGGCACTTCTCGTGAAAGAGCAGGGGTGTAACCCCGGTGTCCTGGCCAAAGTCCCTCAATCAGCCCTTACGATCATGGCCTCCCAATCATCCCCATCCACCGAATTGGCTCTATCACTGTCTCTCCACTCCCCCAATAGCTGGTGTGTGGTGAGCGCACTGGCGCTGTTGTCATGTGGCTGCCGTCGCATCATCCAAGTGGATGCTGCACACTGGTGGTGGTGTAGAGAGACCCCCCTCATGATTGTGAAGCGCTTTGGGTGTATGGCCATACACAATAAATGCGCTGTATAAATACACATTACATTACATAAACACTGTTTTGAGGTCAATATTATTAGCCCCTTTAAGTTATATTTTTTCTCGATGGTCTGCAGAACAAACCATCTGTAACCCAGGGAGTGACACTGACAACAAAGGTGAGGATCCACATGCAGGTTTATTAGAATGCTCAGGCAAGCTGTGGTCAATACAGGAGCAAACAGATGTAGGAGGGCAATCCAGAGTCGTAGTCAATAGGCAGGCAGATGGTCAGAGACAGGCAGCAAACAGGATTAAACAAACAAAACAAAGCAAAGGTTCAAAAACACGGCAAGGAAAACGCGTTGTAGTGTCACTTAACAGCTAACAAGACTCAGCAAAGAGTAGCTGCATCCCAAATCACATACTTATGAACTATTATATGCCATTTTGTAGTATAAATAGTGTAAGTAGTGTGTTCACACGGAAAACTCTAAAAATAATAAGAGCACTTCAATCACCCGGATGATGCACTCATTCAGCTGCTAAAATGAAGTGTGTGATGATGGACACTTCACGCACTCAACGACCACAGGTTTGCTTATGTAGTGGAAGGGGCAGAGCTATCGGGCGCACATGTTGAATAACTTTATTTATTTTGGATGGTGAAAGCAAAATTCTCATACAAGAGTGATTATAGCGCCTCCCGATGGAGAATGCGGCAAAACTCACGGCAGGTATTATTTGATCATTCGGTCGTTTATTTCACTGATTGGGCAAACGTCAAACGTCATCAGGGAAACGGTTTGAATTTGCGCTCAGTAAAAAAACATTAGTGCTCCATTTGGGACGACACTACATACATATACTATCCTGTTGAGTGTGTAAGTGCATAAGTACATAGTGCATGAGTGCATAGTGTATAGTGTGCCATTTGGGATGCAGCTAGTGTCTCTATATATGTGTGAGCTCTATATATGTGTGTGTAATCAGTTTTGAGCAGCATCAGCTGTGTGTATGCAATCAGTCAGGACCAGGAACCGGTTGTGTGTGTGTTGCATGACTGAATATGTAGTCCATTTGCAAACAGATTTGTAGTCCTATGTGTGCGTGAGTGTTTACAAGCGACCTCTGGTGGTTAGTTCGCTGGTGATCATGACACCATCGTTATGCAATAACTTGCCTAATTACCCTAACCTGCCTAGTTATCCTAATTAACATAGTTAAGCCTTTAAATGTCACTTTAAGCTGTATATAAGTGTCTTGAAAAATATCAAGTAAAATATTATTTACTGTCATCATGGCAAAGATAAAATAAAGTTATTAGAGATGAGTTCTTAAAACTATTATGTTTAGAAATGAGTTGAAAAAATCTGCTCTCCATTAAACAGAAATTGTAGAAAAAAATATACAGGGGGGCTAATAATTCAGGGGGGCCAATAATTCAGGGGGGCTAATAATTCAGGGGGGCTAATAATTCAGGGGGGCCAATAATTCAGGGGGGCTAATAATTCAGGGGGGCCAATAATTCAGGGGGGCTAATAATTCAGGAGGGCTAATAATTCAGGAGGGCTAATAATTCAGGGGGGCCAATAATTCAGGGGGGCTAATAATTCAGGGGGGCCAATAATTCAGGGGGGCTAATAATTCAGAGGGGCTAATAATTCTGACTTCAACTGTATATTGAAATGTATTATGAAATGTGTTATTACATTATAATTTATTTAAACTAATCAAATGTGTACCAATAAAATGTTTTTAGAATGTTTAAAATGCAGAATTGGAAGTATTTAATACTGATATTATTTGAATAGACTACCTGAAAGTGGAAACATCTACAGTAAATTGACTGGCTTTACTCAAGACAATTTCTATTTTCTTTTATTTAAATATTCAGAAATGCAATATTCAGAATTAAAGATATAATTTAGTTATTTTTCAATAAAAGCTAATTGAACATCATTGAATCGGCATAAACACTGTACATACACTTACCAGGTAAGATTGTTTTATGTGTTTTGATTCATGAAAATATATTTTTTAATATAATATGAGATATTCATCAAATGATTCTTGCTCTAAATATGACATTTAAAAAGTGTCCCCAATAAATTAAGCTTTACAATCATCGGCCACTTTATTAGGTACACCTTACTAGTACCAAGTTGGACCCATTTTGGCATTCAGAACTGCCTTAATCTTTTGTGGCAGAGATTCAACAAGGTACTGGAAATATTCCTCAGAGATTTTGCTCCATATTGACATGACAGCATCACGCAGTTGCTGCAGATTTGTCGGCTGCACATCCGTGATGCCAATCTCCCATTGCACCACATCCCAAAGGTGCTCTATTGGATTGCGCTCTGGTGACTGTGGAGGCCATTTGAATACAGTGAACTCATTGTCATGTTCAAGAAACCAGTCTGAGATGATTCACGCTTTATGACATGGCCTGTCATCCTCCTGGAAGTAGCCATCAGAAGATGGTCATAATGGGATGGACATGATCAGCAGCAATACTCAGGCAGGCTGTGGCGCTGACATGATGCTCAATTGGTACTAATGGACCCAAAGTGTGCCAAGAAAATATCCCACACACCATTACACCACCACCACCAGCCTGAACCGTTGATACAAGGCAGGATGGATCCATGCTTTCATGTTGTTAATGCCAAATTCTGACCCGACCATCCGAATGTTGCAGCAGTTGGACAGGTGTACCTAAAAAAGTGGCCAGTGTTTGGAGTTTGCATGTTCTCCCCGTGTTGGTGTGGGTTTCCTCCGGGTGCTCCGGTTTCCCCCACAGTCCAAAGACATGCGCTGCCTAAAACAAATGCTGGATAAGTTTGTTCCGCTGTGGCACCCCTGATTAATAAAGGGACTAAGCCGATAATAAAATAAATGAATTAATATATATATATATATGTTGTCTGTGATTGTTTTTATTAAAGCTGATCATATTTATGTTGTCCTGAAGTGTGATGATTGGAGGTGTGCGGGTTCGAGCGCTGTACAACTACACCGGAGAGGAGCCTGATGAGCTCTCCTTCAAATCAGGTGATGCTTCAGTCCTGCTGCGGTCACGCTGACTATCTTTACATTTAAACAGACTAATTAAATTTTCATTTAATGTGAATACTTGAGTGCAAAACTGGAACTTTGAAAAAACATTGCGAAAAAGCAGCTTATGGAATATTCTTGCGTATGCAATATTTAAAAGGTTTACATAATTGCACAAGAATGTTTTCATGATATTGCAAAAATATTCATTCAATATTACAAAATATGCAATATGTTTCTCTGTCCTGCAGGTGAAGAGTTCCTCAAGGTGGAGGACGAGGATGACCAGGGCTGGTGCTGGGGCGTGAAGGAGGGCGGAGCCGAAGGGTTTTATCCAGCAAATTACGTCCTGCCTGTCAAGTGACATCATCAATCACAGCTGAGGCACAACAGTGGTTATTTACAGTTATGAGAAGCACACACAGTGGCAGTGAAGATGTGTCTGAATGTCATTGCATCTCAGAGTGCTGTAAGTGCATGCTGAAAGAGAAACTACACTTCATTAACTGCAAAGAAAGTCATGCAAGACTGAAAGAGTATTATGTGATCAACTGTTTTATTTACATCTGAACATTATTTTTATGCAGTGCTCCTCTCAGAATTAACTTTTCTTCTGACTTTTTCATCATATTGTCATGTAAGAGTTTACTTTTTTGGCTTGAACGTGTGTTTGTGTTACGTTTTCACTATTTATTGTCCAATTGCAATGACATTCAGACATTTTCACATATCAAAATCTTTTTGGTGGCAAACAATTTCAGTGCCCAAAAAATTAAAAAGATCTAACTAATATTTCGATAGACCAAAATAATAAAAAGAGTTGAAATTCTGCTCGGTGGGTGAAACGTTTACCTCTTTATTTAATAATATATGATGCCATTAATTTTAATTAACACATCTTTTCCACTTATGCTTTTGGAAATCCTCCAAAAGACCGGCGAATGATTCAAGCTGAGTCCAGAAACGCCCTCTTTGTAATTTATATATTGCTTAATGAAGGGTTGTACAAAAACCAGTAGGAGCTTGTTAGAAAGATTACAGGGCACTGGAGAAAGAGCCTCCATTATCATCAGAGCCAAATCCATATTATATTTCACCTGCAGGGGTTTGAACTTGACTGATTATAGCTATAAATAACATTTCTGTGCATCGATCAGCCCTGACACCAGAGATGAGCTCAACGTCCACGACTGAATCAGAACAGAGAGATTTTACCAGGTAAACAGCATTGAACAGGTAAATACACTGTAGCAGTCTGACATTAATCTTGGAAAGACAGGGACCTCTGGTGGTGGATCTGAAATCACAGTTCTGATGTTGTGCACTTTTCCCACAGTCAATACTCAGTTCTGTCCTTTTGGGTTTTTAGTTTTACTGTATGTAGGGTTATCATTTCGTGCATAATAAGCACTCTTAATGTACAGAGCGATGTTTCTAATTTGGGGGTTTAACCTGGGATAAATACAGTAAAATAAAATCATTTAAAACTTTTTTCTTTCCATCAAATTTTTCTTTTGTTTTATATTTTTTGAACACAGAAAAACATGCCGTAGACAATCAGCATATAGCGAAGTGCAAAGATATACATGTAATAACCAATATAGGTTGTCAAATAGCAGTATTATTAAAAGTGTCGGCAATAACAATAATAGTGTCAATAAAAGGAAAAACAGTAATGTAAGGACATACAAAACAAATAAAATAATAAAATAAATGTATATGTATGTGTGTGTATACATATACACACACAAAATGTATACAAATAAAACAAATTTCCAAACCAAAAAAGGCAATAAACCAAATCTGTATTTAAGGTTAAGCAAGGGTAAAATTAAGCCAGTTAAAAATGAATATATGAAAGAATGGTAATGGACAAATAGAAATAGGTATTTAAATCCGTGCTGAAAGAGGTCTACAACAATGAAGAAAAGTTATTAGAAGCCCAAACAGGAAACCTTAAATTACTATAAAAAGGAAAAAAATAGATAAAATTAATGAAGAAGTAAATAAATAAATTAATTTTTTTTCTTTTTAAAATATTTTTTGTCTTCTTAAGTCTAACTTATTTTATTTTGGCTAACACAAAAGCAGTTTTAATAAAAAAAAAAAAAATTTTAGGGACAAAATGATTAAAATTATTATGATTAGAAATGTGTTTAAAATCTGCTCTTTGTTAAGCAGAAATTGGGGAAAAAATAAACAGGGGGCTAATAATTCTGACTTCAACTGTATGTACAGTTGAAGTCAGAATTATTAGCCCCCTTTTGATTTTGATTTTTTTAATATATTTCCCAAATGATGTTTAACAAAGCAAGGAAGTTTTCACAGTATGTCTGATAATTTTTTTTTTTCTGGAGAAAGTCTTATTTATTTTATTTCGGCTAGAATAAAAGCAGTTATTAATTTTTTGAAAACCGTTTTTGAGACAAAATTATTAGCCCCCTTAAGCAATTTTTTTCAATAGTCTACAGAACAAACTATTGTTGTACAATAACTTGCCTAATTACCCTAACCTGCCTAGTTCACCTTATTAACCTAGTTAAGCCTTTAAATGTCACTTTAAGCTGTATAGAAGTGTCTAGAAAAATATCAAGTAAAATATTATTTACTGTCATCATGACAAAGATAAAAGAAATCAGTTATTAGAAATAAGTTAATAAAACTATTATGCTTAGAAATGTGCTAAATCATTTTCCCTCCATTAAGCAGAAATTGATGAAAAAAAATTATCAGGTGTACTAATAATTCTGACTTCAACTGTATGTAGATATATATATATATATATATATATATATATATATATATATATATATATATATATATATGTATGTATATATATATGGGGCCTGGAACCACAAGTTTCTGCTTTTTTGATGTTTCCTTGATTCAAATGAGTAAACCTTTAAGTTTGTCCAAGGTTTGTGCCCAAAGTCTGATGGTGTCCTCTCTCACACCATGGATGCAAGCAGTGAACATATCCAGATACACTATATCAGTAAAAGAAAGAATCCAATGAGGATGAGGAGACTGCAGCTCTGCACAAGACTTTTGGCCAGCGGAAAAATTAAAATGATTGTGCCCAACTGAATCTGGTTTCTCTCAAGGTTTTTTTTCTTCACTCTCCAATCGGTGAAGTTTTTTTTCCCTCTCCCCTGTCGCCACTGGCTTGCATGGTTCAGGATTGGTAGAGCTACACATCGATGAATTTGCTCTTCAGTGTTTGGACTCTCAGTAATGACTTTAAATCACACTGAACTGAACTAAACTGAACTGAACTTAAACACTAAAAACTGAACTACCCTGATCCAGTTACTATGACCATTTATGTAAAGCTGCTTTGACACAATCTACATTGTAAAAGTGCTATACAAATAAAACTCAATTGAATGGAATTGATTAAGGGAATGTGGAGGCTTCTATCCTGTCGCAACTATTTCCTTGGCTGCTGTCAAGCCAGCTAAAAACACTCGCTTTTGAATTTTATTAAGTTGGATTTCAGAAAAATTATTTAAGATGAAAATAGAGGGTTTGAGAGGGACTAAAACGTTTAGTATTGAAGACAAATCTAATTTGGGGTCACCACAGAGGAATGAACCGCCAACTTATCCAGAAAGTTTTTATGCAGCGGATGCCCTTCCAGCCACAACCCATCTCTGGGAAACATCCACACACACACACACACACACACACACACACACACACTACGGATAATTTAGCTTACTCAATTGACCTGTACCGCATGTGTTTGGACTGTGGGGGAAACCTGAGTACCCGGAGGAAACCCACGCGAACGCAGGGAGAACATGCAAACTCCACACAAAAATGCCAACTGAGCCGAGGATCAAACCAGTGACCCTCTTGCTGTGAGGTTGACGTGCTACCCACTGCTTTACTCATGTTTTACTCATACTTTGAGTCGTGTTCAGAACAGATACTTACTCTTCTTGCACTAAAATTATTTTTCATTCATTTAGTTTCCTTCGGCTTTTAGGGGGTGAATTAAATTGAATTGAACCAAAAAGGTAGCCGGGAGTTTTCCGTGAGACAGAACAATACGGGAGATTGGCGGGAGATTGGTCGAAATACGGGAGTAACCCGGGAAAACCGAGAGTGTTGGCAGGTATGAACGACTGCACCTGGTTAATTGAGAGGGGTCTGGATGCAGACCTAGTGCAGTGCAATCTGGGCTGCATCCAATGCTTTTTAATAAGCTCACCTAACCCCACCCCTAACAGTGATGTCACTAGCTCAGTTTGAGTGCATTGTGTCTGACATTGCATCACTGAGTGATACAATCTCAGCTTGCATCATAAAGGCTGCATCCAGATACTATTGGGTTAACTAGGTAAGTTAGGGTAATTAGGCAAGTGATTGTATAACAGTGGATTGTTCTGTAGACAATCAAAACAAATATTGCTTAAGAGGGCTAATAATATTGACCTTAAAATGATTTTAAAAATTAAAAACTGCTTTTATTCTGGCCGAAATAAAAGAAATAAGACTTTCTCCAGAAGAAAAAATATTACAGGAAATACTGTGAAAAATTCCTTGCTCTGTTAATCATCATTTGGTCAATATTAAAAAAAAAAGAAAACAAAAATCCCAGGAATCGTTTTGACTTTGACTGTAAATGTAGCAGGCCGCGGCGTCAGGATTAGTAACAGAAGCACATCGCGTTTCACTGAGGCAAATACAGAGAAGTCATTCACAACACACAAACACGCTCCTGTGCACACGCACACACATGCACACATACACATAAACCCCTCAGTAGGAGTTGAAAACACACACAACACGACTCGATATAATGACGCACAAATGAACAGGGAGGAAAAAAAACTGATCAGCAGAACGCAGTGACATTGTGAGGGCAGAAGCGGAGCGCGGCGCACGAATAAAAGAGCTGAGGGAAAGTGATGACACAGCTGAAGTTTTGAGCGTAGACGAGCGAGAGCCGGTGATATAGACAACGCAAAACGGCCTGTTGTTTATTGTTGGTTTGTTTGTATTTGTGTCTGCGCGTGTTGTACGAAACGGAGAGGCAGAATCTCCACTGCACCACTGTGTGACTGGATTCTTAATGGGAGGGGGATGGAGAGAGAGAGAGAGAGAGAGGTAGAGATGGCTTATCATTAAGTCATAATACATACTGGAGGACACAAGTGTGTGGGACGCAGACAGAGTTCAACACTGAAGCACAGCCGAGATCAAACACAGCCGCTAATATCAGCTAACTAGCACAAACACGCTGTACACGCAGGCCAAGACCAGCTAGATCTGTTTAAGACGCCTCGGTTATTCATTTATTCCTGCTCTCCGAGAAGCAGCATTACCGGCAGACATCAGACTGTGTTGGAGACTCAGAATACGAGCGTTTTAAAAAAGTGTTTATGTATATTATGTATATATGTATAAAGCATTGTGATATTTTCTTTTTTATTTTGTAATATATATTACGATATGAATACAATTTCACCAGATAATCTAAAGGGCCTTATCATACACCCGCTGCAATAAGGCGCAAGATGTGTTTTTGTGCTATGTGTTGCTTTTTTTAGACCAGCGCAACCCTAAGTTTCATGTTTTGTGTTACATTGTTTAAATAGCAAATCCATTTGCGCTTCTTTGTGGACTCATGGGTGTGCCGGTCTGAAAGGGAGGTGTGTTAAGGCACATTGTTGGTTCGTTGCTATGTGTAGTGCAGGGTTTTTCAAAGTCTAAGTCAGTGGGCCTCCCTTTTGACACAACTTATCCATTGGCGCCCCCCTCCTCCCAAACATGCACGCACACACGCACACACACACACACACACACACACACACACACACATATATATATATATATATATATATATATATATATATATATATATATATATATATATATATATATATACATACAGTATATATAAAGACACAGACAGATGTCAGACTGTTTACTCATTTTTATCATAATTTGCATGAAAGTGCAATTATTTCAAGAGTAATAACAAGTATTTTAATATAACGTTTTTAAAACTAGGATGATGGTTCAATATGAATAGAACAGATCCAAGAACTGTCCATCCCATCCGAGTCTCATGCTGTCATTAGCCAAAATATCTTGACAAACCACACATAAAGGTCGTGGTTCATCAGCTGGTCCTGTCCACGTAAATCCTAAACTCAAATACTGATCATCATATCGTCGTCTTTTGGGTTTAAGTCCTGAACTTGAAGGCTTTGAATCGGGGGGGTCTCAGAAACCGATCCATTGTATTAGCAGGCATATACCTGTATTGGCGGGCTTGCCTAACAGAAGCGAATTCACAGCTATGGCCTTCTGGGTAAAAAAGGTTTTCTTATTTTTGACGTATAATTTTTTTTTGCTTTGTTTAATTAAAATGTTTAAATATAATAAAAAATACATATAAAAATTAAACTTAATAATTATATTTTAATTATATAATATTTTTTCCCGCGCCTCCCCTGACATGCTCTGGCGCCCCC